AGTAATAAAGAGGAGGCAGGATGGTGAATTGAGGGCCTCAAAAAGGTAAAATGTGTACAGATGTATGTTATTATGTTGATGTGTTATATTTTGTGTTCTGGACTGGAGAAAGACATTTGATTCTTGGAACTGCTAAAAAAAAAAGGTATTTTGACCAAAAAACAGGCTTAAGGATTAATGCTTTTGAAAAGAGATTCTGCTTTTGTCTCCACAGAGGATGAGAACCTGTGAACTCATTGCAAATTTATGTGGTTTGATTCACCGAGACCCCCTGAAATACTGATATAAAATACTTTCTAGAATACAGCACCCCCGCTCAGCAGGAAGTAGCCAGACAGGTTGACGATGCCCAAATTCCCTAAAAGATTGTTTAAATGGGGCCCCTTCAGTTGTTCCGGAACAGCAAGCTTACTTTTCCGAGTTCCACTCTGCTCCATGCACCAGTTTGGACCCCCAACGAGTGTGGTTGGGTGGTGCGGGAGAATTGTCTGTATTCTGTCAATCATGTATTTTAATAAAACGCTGATTGGCCAGGCAGGAAGTATAGGCGGGAAAACCAGACAGGAAGTAGAGGTGATGCAATGAGAACAGGAGAATTCTGGGAAGCAGAAAGTTTCCTCTGCCATTCCTGCCTAGATCACCGAAGAGGCAACATGTGAACTGCCATGCTGAGAAAGGTACTGAGCCATGTGGCTAACATAGATAATGATAATGGATTAATATAAGTTACAAGGACTAATAAGAAGTCTGACCTAATGGGCCAATCAGTTTATAACCTTATGGAGTTTTGTGTGTGATTTTCCTTGGGGTATGTCGGTTGTGGGGTACCAGGCGTGAACAGATACCCCAACAAGCTGCCCTTCATGTTACAGTTGAGGTCAGGAATCACCATAGAACCTTCATTATATTCTCCCTCCTTCTATTCTTCAACTGGACCTTGGGAGCTCAGTCCAGTGCTCTGATGTGGGTCTCTGTCTCTATCTCTATCTGTCACCAGATGAAGGTTCTATGGTAATATTCAAGATAGTCATCAGTCTGACAACTGGAAAAGGCCAGTTCAGGCACCCTCTCCTCCACTGCCCAGGGTTCTAGCTGGAGTCATACACGTGGACTCCTGGGAACCCCTACAGAGCCAAGCCTCTTGCCAACCCCAAAATGGCTCCCTCAGTTATCTGCTTCCCTGCTCCCATATCCACCCTTCATCCATCTCAACCATCCCTCTTCCCCAAGCTCTCCCCAATCCTCCCCTTTCCCCCTCTCTCTTCCCCTTTTCCCTTTTCCCACATCCCCACCCTTATGCTCCCAAATTTGCCAAGAGATCTTGTTTGTTTCCAATTTCAAGGAATATCTATGTATGTTTTTCTATGGGGTCACCTTATTACTTAGCTTCTCTAGGATCGCAAACTATAGGCTCAATGTCTTTTGCTTATAGCTAGCACCCACTAATGAGTGAGTACATACCATATTCATATTTTTGGGTCTGGGTTATCTCACTCAGTATAGTGTTTTCTACTTCCATCCATTTGCATGAAAAAAACCAAGATTCATTGTTATTTACTGCTGAGCAATTCTCTAATGTGTAGATATGCCACACTTTCTTTATCCATTCTTCCATTTAGAGGCATCTAGGTTGTTTCTAGGTTCTGGTTATTACAAATAATGCTGCTATGGATATAGTTGAACACATGCTTTTGTAGTATGATTGGGCATCTCTTGGGTATATTCCCAACAGTAATATTGCTGGATCCTGAGGTAGGTTGACTCCCAATTTTCTGAGAAACTGCCACACTGATTTCCAAAATGGTTGCACAAGTTCGCATTCCCACCAGCAATGGATGAGTGTTCCCCTTACTCCACATTCTCTCCAGCATGAGTTATCACTAATGTTTTTGATTTTAGCCATTCTGACAGGTATGAGATGGTATCTCAAAGTTGTTTTGATTTACATTTCCCTGATAGCTAAGGAAGTTGAAAACATCCCTATGATCTTTTGACTATTTGAAATTCTTCTGTTGAGAATTCTCTGTTCAGTTCATTACCCCATGTTTTAATTGGGTTCTTTCTTTCTTCTTTCTTTCTTTCTTTCTTTCTTTCTTTCTTTCTTTCTTTCTTTCTCTTTCTCTTTCTCTCTTTTTTTATTTTTTGGAGGTATTGCTTGTCACTAACATGGACCTGTGGAACATTATGTGAAATAGAATAAGTCAGCTGCATGTAGACAAGTACCACATAATTTTACTAATAAGTGGAACCTAAATGAAAAGAGAATAGAGTGTTCAGTGTGTGGTGTGCAGCCTACATCCCTCAAAAACTACCACCATTTGTGAACCTGCATATGGCTGTTTCCTTCATATAATCAGGATATGACTTAGTGCTTTTGTGTCTTCACCCTCAGATTATCTGTCATGCGACTTTCCCTAGGATGACATTAAAAGCATCTGTTCACCCCAGATATGTTTTAAAAAATTGTGCAAAGATCTGGTTCCATCCAAGCTCAGTTGAAAGAAGCAGTTTACTTGGATCCCCTGGGCACATAGTTATTTATAGACACACGGAAGATATAAAGCTGCATATAGAGAGTCTGGCCCCATCAAGCATGAGAACCCCCAAAAAATCCATACAAGAAAAGATCCCCCCAAAAGAAGAACCTGACAGTAGTTATTACTCAGTAGTTGACTTTTATTAATGAGCACTAATGTGCTTGTGATTGAAGATTATGATGGGTGCTTAAAATGGGAGAAAAAAGGCAAAGTCAAGGAGAAGCCATGAAGCCACTACCAAAAACAGACATGCCAAAACTTTGCCAGTAAGCCACAGCCATGTGGCGTTATACAGATTAATGGAGATGGGTTAGTTTAGGATATGAGAGGTAGCCAGAAATACACTTAAACTATTAGTCAAACAGTATTGAAAATAATATGGTTTCTGTGTGATTATTTCAGGACTTAGCAGTCAGGAACAAAGAAGAGGTCTCCTACAATGCTTAGAAGTCACCATGCTTAAAAAGGGAAAGACAGATGGGAAAACTGAACCAAATTAGTGTGAAAAGCAAAAAAAAAAACAATGTGTTTGCTGCCTAGCCTGACATCTGAGTTTCACCCCAGAACATGATGGGAATGCACAACCAATTCCTGAGAATTGTCCTCTAACTTTTACACACACCATAGTACACACCATGTGTTTGCCCACATATATATACATATACACCAAATCTAAGTGTTATATGTTGTGTAGTTTTTATAAGTTTATTTCTTTATGTCCATAGCCAGAATTTTTAGGGGTTCTTTCCTGATCAAACATGATTCAATCAACCTGGAATGAATTCCCATCCTCTCATTTCCTGTGGGAATAACAACATAGCATCTTCTCCAAAGTAGCATATTCCACTTTGAAGTCAACATTTTTAAAATCTATAGGTTAGTTTAATCCAGCAATTTTCACAATCCAAGGTGTTTTAGCAGCTGTCATTCCTTCATTAGTAAGCAAAGTATCTAAAGTTAGCACAATAACATGCAGGATTCAGACTCGGTGTATTTCCCATCTTTATGCGGCTTATTATTATTTTTTCACTTTAAAAGTTTTAAACTAAAAATGTTTAAAGACTTTACTATCATCTTTCAAATATATTTTATTTTATAACTGCATATACTTTTTCTCTTTTCTCTCTCAGACCTATGTATATTTTTAAACACCCTGCAACCTGTTTAGAGTATTTTTCCATCTGAATCTGTATTGTTCTTTGATTGCCTGAGATGATCTTAAACTGCTATGTTAGTCACTGGGCACTACTCATCTTACCACATGTGTTAGCACAGGACATTGGTGACTGGCTCCTTTGCCTCTTGGCTCCCTGACAGTTGAGCTTCATGGCCAAGGTACCAGCAGGAGCCACCTTATTGCCTCAGCTAGGGAAAGTTGTTGAGTCTGCTTTACCACCAAGTAGCACACTGCACACAGCTCATAAACTGCATTTAAGTGTTCAGTACAGTTAAAGTAGCTGTGGCTCTGATTGCCACTAGTAATAAGCCTACCAGTAAGGGTGGTTACCAAGAAGCCACACTTGAGCCTGTTTTTGTGTGTTTGGGACCCTTTGGAAAAGATTTCTCTGTTCTTACCTTGATCTACATTATCCCACATTTCTGTGTTTGAGTAATAAATTTTTTTTATTACACATGCAATGGTTATTTCTGAAGAGAATGCTCACGGGTATAAGACCAGTGAGACGTTTCAGGGCATTTAAGTGCAGTGACTGAGCATTGGTCATCTAGTGACTGACTGCGCAGTACATGTCAGTCTTTCACAACTCTGTAAACTCTTTCATGTGGATGGAATCTCACACACACTTTGAAGAATCCCAAAATAGACTTGTGGGACTTACATTAAGCAATCAAAACATCAGGAACAAGATATCATTCTTTGAAATGATAGGATTAAATCATTATGAATTCTGATAAAATTTACAAACTTTATCTTCATGTTTCCAGTCATGCTAGTAGTAAACCAATTTTACAAATCCTAATTAAAGCCATTTTTTTCAGTGCCTGAGGCCTGCTTCAGTTAAGAGCAATAGCTGGTTTTGCTAAGGATACAGGTTCAATTCCTGGTAACAATACTTTAGTTCAGAACCATATATCTTATTCCAGTAGTAACAGGGCATTTGATGGCCTCTTCCACTCTCTAAAGGCACCACACACACATAAGCTATACAAACATAATTCAGGCAAACTATTCATACACAAGGAATGAATACAAATATGAAAAAGTTTAAAGAATAGAGTCTTTTCCAAGTGTGGCAATAAACAGAATGAGGTTTCTATATCATTATAATTTGTTATGGTCTCCCTCTCTCTCCACTCTAGGCTTGAGTCTTCAGGAAGATTGTCTGAAAAGAAACATATGCTTAAACTGCAGGGTGAGATTCTGTCTTGCCCACAGCATTACAGAACTGAAAGTTCTTTCACACTTATTGAACAGAAAAGTTAGAGATAGTTTCTCTATTTCTCTCACTGAGCATGCCAACACTCAGGCAGAAGTCCATGCCTGTGAATCAACACAACAGGACTAAAAGTTGCATAGCCAAGAGCCAGAAACTTTTGAACATTTGCCATCAAAGTATTGTTCCTTAAAGAGATACTTAAAATTAGAGAGACAGCACAGTCAGTCCAATAGAAGAAAACAAAACAGAGCATCAGACAGAGGACACTCTGAGCATCTCTCAGCTCAGGGGGAGTTCTATAGAGAAGCTCGGGGTTCTGAAGGTAGAGGACATGCTGGTGGTGCTTGTGGAGAAGAAGTACCATGTAGCCACTGGCACCTCCCATTGCTCCCTGAAACACAGTATCTCTCAAGACCATGAGAGGGAGAACAATCCATTTTGTTTTCTGACTTTCTTGCATAAAATAACAGTTGTCATCTTCACTCTTAAACTGTGATATATTCAGGCTTGTACTTGTGACAGACTGAATTAGATTCATACCTATTAAAGCATTGAGTATCCAAAAGAATGAAAAGAATGAAAGGATATGCCATGCAGACTTTGGTCTGAGCCTCCTCCATCCAGATGCTCTGGGACTGATGATGATGGCCTGAACCACAGTGAGGAGACCGCTGGTGCAGATGGAGACACCACGGGCCACCCTCTGCAGGTAAATGAAAATCTTACATTCTATGTCATCTGGGAAGTTTCTCAAACCAAAAGCTGCCAATGTCTTTGGCAATCCTTTTGCAAGAAGGATCATGATATTTGTAAAAGCCAAGTGGATGAAAATAATGTGTATGGGTTTCTTCTCAGGGCCTCTCCACCAACTGATCATATTATTCACAGAAACAGAGATATTCCCCAGAGTGCCAAACACAGTCATGAAGAAGAAAATCACTTCCATAATAAAATTCAAAACCATTTCTTCCTTTCCATGTAGAAGAATTTGTGCCCAGGATACAAACACTTTTCAAGAAAGCATCAGTAATGTTAGAAGTGGATCTGAAAAACACATTTTACACAATAGCACTCTCTAGTGTGCAAGAGGCAGAAATGGTCAGATGTAATGTTGAAGATTAAGTCCGTGAAATACCTCCTTTTTCCACACTGTGGACTCTGGGATACTGTGTGTGCTCTGACAGGTGAGTTTGGTAACTGCTATTAAAAGTCTCAAGTTTGAAAGAAGATATTTTTTGAGCACTATACTAGCAAAATTGACTTTTTGAAATTGTGTGTGTGTGTGTGTATGTGTGTGTGTGTGTGTGTGTGTGTTTCTGTCTGCATGCATGGATTATCCTAGTTAACCCTCAGCATAGCTGAATTGAACTCCAAGATTCTCCAACCAAAATTTCTTCCTCTTTTTCTCATTCTATTTCATATTTCCTCACTCAGTTTCCAAAATCAGAGGTTCATGCTGACCCTGTCTGCCTTCCCCACATCACAGACACTGGGAAACCCTGCTGGGTCAGCACCTGTAACATCTCTCAGATTTGCTAACTTTACCCTCCACACTGCCCCCCTCCTTTGTCTGATACTCCTTTCTTTTTTTTTTGTAATTTTATTAAATTATAAAAAGTTTCCATTTACGCCCCTCCTCCCAACGCCCTCCCACTCCCCCCCTCCCTCTCCTCCTCCCTCTTTGTCCCCTAGGGAAGTCAGGGTCTCCTGCCCTGTGGGAAGTCCAAGTTCCTCCCCCCTCACTCCAGGTCCAGGACAACTCAAGTCCAAATGGATTAAAGACATCAACATCAATCTGTCCACTTTGAACCTGATACTCCTTTCTTATCTAACTTATCTTAACTAACATAACAATTTCTAGATTTGCCTTTGGTGTTGAAGCTTTACAGCTTCTATTTCTGATTTCGTTCCATATAAATATTTACTTGTCATTTTAAAGATAGTTCTCAATGTCAAATCAAACTGTAAAACCTTTCCAGGTAGAGCCTGACAGTTAAAGCTGAGTCATAAAAAGATTTGCTGAAAAATTCGTGGACCCATCAGGTTGCAGCTAAGGAGTGTGTCTAGCAGAACCCTGTAGTTCTTCCTAGGAGAGGGGATTGAAAAGAATTTTGACTCCAGTGAATGAGTTCAGGACATTTGTGACTCCTGTGAGTGACTTCAGGGCATCTCAGGGAACAGGGAGCAGCTCTCCACCAGGGGAGAAGGTGAGGGGGATGGAAGAAGGGATTAATGAGGTGTTAGGTACTGTGGTGAGATGCGTGCAGTTAACTTATGACTCCTCAGTTTTGGCTACGTACAGTACAGTAGGTACTGCCTCTGTTCACACTGCTCTTCTTTCTGTGAAACTTAACAGGATTGTTTCAAATGTTTACGTCTTGATGATATCACCTGTGTCCTGCATAAACTGAGCCACGTTCCCAGGTTTGGGTTTATGTTGATGCATGGTTTTAGAAATGTCAGCTATTGTTTTTCAACTGTTCCTCTGACAGAGGGGTAATTGTTGACTGTATTATTGGTACATCTGGAAATCACAATAGCACCCCAAATATCTGCACATAATAAAATATGCTCTAGACATTAATGCCAAACCCATCAGCATTCATTAACATATTTACAATAAAATTATGTGTCTAGTTAGATGTTGGGATCTGTAAAATTCCTTCAATAATTCATCCTAAATTCTGATGAAAAAAATATTAACATTTTTCTGTTTATTTGGTGTTTGATTTCCTGGAAATTCATAGTTTTCTGGTCTTCTCTTTTTCCCCAAAAGTTTCAATTACATTTCAGAACAGATTCTGATCTTCTAATAAGGATTTCCTTCTACTGGAATAATGCACTGTTCCAGGAGAGAGAGATGACTCATCCTCCACATTATATTGGGCTATGCTATAGGAAATTAATTTAAAAGACAGGATGGAAACTATATGGATGATCCCTCGTCTGGTAATAAACCCCAATAACCTGATGTAGGTTACATCCATCTTTCCTGGTTTTCTAAAAACAAGGAAACAAAAGCAAAACAGATTTTTTATCCTTGCTACTTAGCAGAAGAATAAACCTAAAATGAGCTATTTCAATTTGTTCTAGTTCACAACCTTAATCCTTTGTAGCAAGAATTCTTAATATGGTTTAGTGGTTTCTGTTTATCCACACCCAGTAGAAATACAAAGATTGTAGCTGATATAAGTTTGTATAATATTATGTGATAGACTACAGAGACAAAGGATGGATACAGAAGGAAAACCTTCTGTAAATTGGGAGTTATAATGTTATTGTAAAGGAAATCACATGCCAATATTTGAAAAGTGGAAATGTACTAAACGTGACAAGAATCAATCTTACAAATACTAGGGATACTGAAGGAGTCACAAGACTGGGAAACATGGTAGTTAAAACAAGAAAATTTGTTTTTCTTTTGTCTTACTATTTTTGAGACAGAGTCTCTCTATGTAAACCAGGCTTGCCCTGAACAACAAGTACCTTGCCTCAATCTCTCTAGTCTCGACGTGACAGGAGTGTGTCATGATCATCTCCAGTGTTTGACAGACATCTGAAAATCTTCTATATACTATTGATTCCTAAAAAAAAAAAGAAAAGAAAAGAAACCTTAATCAAAGATCCAGACAGAGCTCTGTTATGGTACTCCAGCCTGAGAATGGATAGCGATCCCTCAACATTTCTGTTCCATCTCTGTATCTACAGGAAATAGTCTCCTTTGATCTTTCTGTAGCCAGGGCCAGAAGGAAAGTGGAGGTCCTGAGGATCAATCACAGAACCTCTCACCTGCTCCCTGGATTAGTCAGAGAGAGTCTTCTGCTTTAATGAAACTCTCCATGGCACAGCTGAGGGGATAGAAGGTCTTACCTCCATGTGCTCACCTGAACCTCTGTGGTGCAGACAGGATCTGGAGCAGCTCTGGGAGAGGGACACTCTCCAGGTCTTATTTGTACTTCAGGATTTGTGGGCTCTTGGCGGCCATCAGGCTTTTCAGACTTCAGGTTTCATGTGGTCACAGTGTCGGGGGAAGGAAGGCCTCTGCAGAGCAAGGTTCCCTGAAGCACAACTTTTCCTCTTTCCATAATTACTACATCTGCTTTGCTCAAAAGTAATTTCAAGCATAATTAGGGATTAATTATTTTAGAGAAAGGATGTGAAGTGAGAAAATGAACAACTAATTACGTTTCTGTGTACGGAGCTCCCTGCAACTCTTGTTTTTCATCTTTTCAATGTGCCAAGCTGTGGTCTGGCAGGGACCAACTTCTGAATGACAGACCAAGTCCCTTTTTAAATCCCATTTTAAACAGGAGTAGAATAAATGATTCTTAGCTCTAGGAATTCTGCTTACTAAGTAAATTCCAACCATGGACCAAGACAAGTTTAGAGTTCCTTGTATCAAGCTATGGCCTGGCATGGACCAACTTCTGACACATAGATCAACACAGGCTTTCCTTTCTTAAATCCACTCCTAGATTGGATTATAATGAATGAAGCTCAACACTCAGGATTCATGTGCATGTCCCAAACATAAACTAGAACAAGTTGAGAATCCTTTGTTCTGCCTTTCCTCATTGTACTGAAGGTCTCTGTTGTTAACTTATCATTTTTTTAAAAAAAATTATTTATTTATGTATTAAAAATTACCACCTCCTTCCCTCCTCCCATTTCTCTCCCAATCTCCCCACTCCCTCTTCCCCTCCCTCTCCAGTCCTAAGAGAAGTCAGGGTATCCTGCCCTGTGGGAAGTCCAAGACCCTCCCCCCTCCATCCAGGTCTAGGAAGGTGTCCATCCAAACAGACTAGGCTCCCAAAAAGCAAGTACATGCAGTAGGATCAAAACCCAATGCCATTATCATTAGCTTCTCAGTCAGTCCTCATTGTCAGTCACATTCAGAGAGTCTGGTCTGTTCACAGGCTCGTTCAGTCCCATTCCAACTGGTCTTGGTGAGCTCCCATTAGATCAGTCACACTGTCTCAGTGGGTGGACACACCCCTCACGGCCCTGACTTATGTTCTCCCTCCTTCTGCTTTTCATCTGGACCTTGGGAACTCAGTCCAGTGCTCCACTATGGATCTCTGTCTCTATTTCCATCTATCGCTAGATGAAGGTTCTATGGTGATATGCAAGATATTCATCAATGTGGCTATGGGATTAGGCCAGTTTTATACACAAAACTCAAGTCCAAATGATTTAAAGACCTCAATATAAATCTGACCACACGGAACCTGATAGAAGAGAAAGTGGCAAGTAGTCTGCAACACATGGGCACAGGAGACCACTTCCTACCTAGAACCCCAGTAGCACAGACAATAAGAGTAACAATGAATAAATGGGACCTCCTGAAACTGAGAAGCTTCTGTAATGCAAAGGACACTCTCATTAAGACAAAAAACCCAAAAAATACCTATAAAAAAACCCTACTGAATGGGAGAAGATCTTCACCAACTCCACATCAGACAAAGGTCTGATCTCCAAAATATATAAAGAACTCAAGAAACTAGGTGAGCAGTTTAAATAGAGCTGTAAGCCGCAAGGAAATAGAATCTGTCATCAGAAACCTCCCTACCAAAAAAAAAAAAGCCCTGGCCCAGATGGTTTCAATGTAGAATTCTATCAGATCTTCCAAGTAGAGTTAATACCTATACTCCTTAAAGTGTTTCACAAAATAGAAACAGAAGAGTCATTGCCTAACTCCTTTTATGAAGCTACGGTCACCCTGATACCCAAACCACACAAAGACTTAACAAAGAAAGAGAATTACAGACCAATCTCACTCATGAACATTGATGCAAAAATTCTCAATAAAATACTCGCAAACAGAATCCAAGAACATATACAAAAAATTACACATTATGATTAAGTAGGCTTCATCCCAGAGAGGCAGGGCTGGTTCAACATATGAAAATCTATCAACGTAATCCATCATATAAATAAACTGAAGGAAAAAAACATATGATCATTTCATTAGATGCTGAAAATGCATTTGACAAAATTCAACACCCCTTTATGATAAAGGTCTTGGAGAGATTAAAGATACAAGGTTTATTCCTAAATATAATAAAGGCAATATACAGCAAGTCGA